GTCTATGCGTTCCAGACTTCAGGCTGTAATTGACTGCAAAGGATTTGCAACCAAGTATTAAAAAAGTTAAACTTTGATTTATGATTATTATTCTGTCCCATTACTTCTGGTCCCTTAACAAGTGGGAGGCACATATGCAAACTGTTGTAATTCCTACACCGTTCACCTGATTTGGATGTAAATACCCTCAAATTAAAGCTGACAGTCTGCAGTTAAAGCACATTTTGTTCGTTTCATTTGAAATCCATTGTGGTGGTGTATAGAGCCAAAAATGTTAGAATTGTGTCGATGTCCCAATATTTATGGACCTGACTGTGTGTGTGTGTGTATATATATATATATATATATATACACACACACATATACATACACATACACACACACATAAATTTTTCCTTCAAATGTGTAGTAAACATTAAGAAAATTTTAATAGTACTCCAACAGTGAAATTCATTCTGACAGTCCTAATAAAAAATACAATAAGCCTGAAGTGTCATAATGGATGAAAATGTTTATAAGCTGCAAGTGGTTATACCGGGGGGGAAAAAAAAAATCATAATCTTGGCTGTAGAAGTAAAATAAATCTCAAGAAGGAATTTCCATAAAAAAGCAATAGCATCATGGTGCTCTGAATAAAAATCAAATCAAATTGTGAGCTGCTTAGATATTCTCACCTCTGGATCCGTTTTACGATGTATTTTACAAGAGTGTGAGTGCAGTCAGTGAGAAATCAGCATGTCCATGTGAGAGCAGAGTTTAGAAAGAATTCATGCTGAGCTGTTTTGCTCCACATCACCACTGCACCGATTTGGCCAGAGCTGCAGCTCACACACTGTCTTTTACACTCACTGTGCTCTGTGGGAAACTCGGCCTTTAACCCTAATGATCAATTAAAGGCCATAAACGTTTTTTTTACAGGGCTATTCTTCTAGCAGCATATTAACTTTTATACACACTGCAGCATTTATTATATATTATTTATAGCACATGCAGTATGCATTACATCCAGTATTGAAACTGTATTATAATTTTACAATACAGGACGCACTACTCGATGGTCAGAGTGCGCAACAACAAAGTCACCCACATCATTATTTTTAAAGGTGTCTAATTTGCTGTACTGTGAAAAAGGAAATGAGTCACACCAGGCTACAGCAGTAATCAGGGGAACAGATATCTGCAGGCCAAATGATGGCTTCTCTCAAACCTTTAAGGAGGAAAATAGAACGGAAAAAAGGGACTGAGTTCAATATGATGTCACTGTACATTTCTCATTGGCTACGTTTACATGCACATCACGTTCCGTTTAAGGTCTACATTCAGGTTGCAGCCATATTCCGAATACGATGCTTATATGCGTACTGGTATATAAACATTCCTGTATACATGGCTGTTGTAAGTATGCCTGAGTTAAGTATCAGCTAAGTATCTGTTAGCACCGACAATTCCTTGCGGACTGAGCATGCGCATACATCTCCTTTCAGTGGATTTTCTGAATAAAGTGTTTACATGCAACAAATTTCCAACCAAAACAGGCATATTCCAGGGGTGGAAATCAGAATATTGTCTTAATCTGAATCAGGCAATCAGATTGCGGTGTTTCCATGACTCAATACTACTTAGAATATTACCAAATTCCGATTAATATCTGAATATCAATGCGCATGTAAACGAAACCATTGTTACGCTGTTAACTAGGCTACATTTGACATTAGTGTTTTTGTTTGTTCTGCTATAACGTGTACACTTCCCAATGCTGACTAAACTAGAAAACAAACATTTCTGGGACAGGAGCAATTTTCTGGATAGCTGCTCCTGTCAGATAACATGAAATTACTGACAACATTTACATTTATTCAAAGCAGCTGAGAAGTTCTCGTCTTGCACAAGGGCCCAGGAGTGGTTTTCCGGTGATCTCCGGGTCTGAACTGATATTTTATTATTACTTGCTTAGAATTGTAATCACTAAGCAGTCAACAGTGAGCTGCATGCCTCTATTTTTCAGGTCAGTCCAGGCCAATATAAAGACAAGACACAGATCATACAAGTGGACACAAATTGCCTTAATGCCCTTCACCACTGAGCCTCTGATATCTGCAGAGAATTGGCTGAAGTAGTAGTGTCGGATCAGTATCAAGTATCGTCCGACATGCAGAGCTTTGATAACAGCATCAGTGATGGCTGGTGGTGATATTAGATGGGAGAGCTAAATTATAATATCTATCAATAGCGCTGCAATGAAAATAATAGGGCTGAGCAATGCATTATAGCACGAGGTCTCTTTGTTGGCATAATAAGAATGATGCAGGACAAAGTTTGTAGCTGTACTGGGTATTTCCTTATTATTATGGTCCTGAAGTCTGTCCTACGTAATTTGTACTTTGATTGAACAATGTGTGATTAGTCTATCTATTATTACTTTTCTCTCCAAATGCATTTTCAGAAAAAAAGGATGACAGCGTGAATAATCCATGGATGTAAGAGTTTATTACACACGTGATTATATTTCATGTGCACCTCTTCTGGTGTGTTACGGATGCGTCAGCGAACGTGGCTGAAAGATATCAGCCCAAATGGAGATCAAATCTAGTGGATCATGACTTGACACGACTGCCACTGATAAGCTGCATGAATCTACAGTCTGGGCTTGAAAGAAATCAGCCTCAGCCTCACTGCTTCTTAGCTACTTCTGTGTTTTTCACTGGTGGTGGTGGTGTGGCTCTTGGTTGCACAAAAGACAAGACTGGAAAAAAATGCATCATGTGCATGACCTCCTTAAACGTGATCTTAAACAAAAAAGCGTTTTGTGTTATACAAGTAAGAAAATTCTCCTTTGCTAAAATAGAATAGAATAGAGTGCTTTATTGATCCCTAAGGGGAAATTTGGTAGAGATCTGGTGCTTACCTGGGACAGGTAGACGGAGTTACAGAGACACAAAGCTAAGCAGCATGGTTAAAGGTCTTACACAGCAAAAAAACAAACAAAAAAAAAAACAGTTCAAAAGCGTAGTCAGTGAGAACAAAGCTCTGTTCATGACAATAATCTGGGTTGGAGTTTTTCCCCCACTATTTCCACCACGCTCTGCATATCCGAACAGATGACATCATCTCTGGCTGAAGAGGGCTTTCTTAAAAAATCCTCATAGACTAGCAGAACATCTAGCTTACTACACATGTGCATGTTAAATGATCATGTGCCAGACAGACATATAGGTATAAAGGGCTGAGAAAACTGTTTTAGCCTATTGACTGGGACTGAACTAGTTATGATCTGAAGCTTTTCATGAAAAGAAAAAAAAAAAAAAAGAAAATGTTAGGATAGAGTATAACTGTATATAGATAGCAGTGTGATGTAATTATGATGTAAGGTTTGGCCTGGATATCATGATGATGATCATTATTAAACTGGTATTAAACCATCACCTGCATGGTCACCTTTGTTTTATGGCTTTGTCTGGAGTTGGATGTGGCCACGCCCTTCCATGGAGCTCCAAACCACAGAACCGGTACAAAAATAGTCACAAATAGTCAAGTTGAAGACAAAATTGCGGTTAATACAAATGAAAATGACCCAGGGGTTAACATTTGGATGTGAATTAGATGTAACAAGGAGACGCGACAGTGGGAAAAGGACAACAAAGGATCCCCCAGTGCCAAAGTGATGCTGCTCGGGGAATCATTTCCTACCTCACAGTCGTATAAATTCATTAACTGGCTAACTATCCACTCCTCCAAATTCAGCCTCCTCCTCAGCTCCTTGCGGTCATATTTCACCGTCACTCGTCCCTGCTTCTGTGGAACTTCTTCTTCAGTACCGGGAGGCGTCTGGAAATAGACCCGGGGCTGAGCGCTCGATTCCGGGCTCGTTACCGCCGCCATTGTCCGGGGAGCTCGACAAGATTCCACTAAAGCTCGCGGCTGATTTTCCAAGATCGATTTGTTTTGTTTATTTTTCGGTTTTAAACACCGCACAATCAATCAATCAATCAATCAATCAATCAATCAGTTTACTTCTCTTCTTCTGCCATGTGCACCACCTCCATTTGCATACTGTCTGACAAATCCAGGAGCACGGCTTCCTCTTGAAAACGAGCGGTGGGTTTTTATCGTGTGTCTGCAGATCCTCCACAAAGCGCAGCGCTAATTCGCCGGTGAAGTCTCTGACATGTGAAAGTCCATCTTGCAGCCTCCGGCTCGCGGCTAGTGGGCGCCTCCAAGTGCCTGTGCAATGCCAAAAAAAAAACCCCGATCAATTCAACTAACGTTCTTTCATGTTTCATATGGTCCTAACCTGACTTACATCTTTCCATGATCAAATATGAATATTTGTCTGATATCTCGTATAAACACGTTTTATTTATTAATATTATTTTTTAAATATTTCCTCAGCCACATAAGTGAACATCCCCTTCACCCCCCTCTGCTTTGTGCTCTTTGGTCTCTTCCACCAAATCAAATCTTTCCTCGTCTCCTCTCAGCTATGGCGCGCTGCTAAACCCGGCTTAGCTTTCTGTCTATTGAATTTACATTGTGTTAGCAGGTTAAACTTCATTTCACTCACTCAGTAGATGAATAACCTGCTGCATTGCTCTTGGTTTTTTCACTAGCCTCTGATATGAATCATTGTTTTGAATATCCTTATTATGGAGCTGTTTGGCTAGGAGTTAGACTGTAAGAAATATATGTAATATTAAATATATGTACATCTGGCATAAGACAAATAATGGACCTCTGAACCATGTGTGTTAAAAAAAAAAAAATCATTCACACAGAAATCTTGCTGAGTATCTCATGACACTACATGTGGAGGGGTAATTTTTATTATTATTTTTTTAAACAGTAGATATCACAGTCAGTCTTTGTCAGTGGATTGCTGATATTCTGACAAATACCTACTTTTTGTATTGGATTTTTAAATGGCATTTATTTATACAAATAGGGTTCATCTAATTAAATATGCATATATTTGAATACTTAATAAACCCAAAAAAGGGGGGGGGGGCACAGTGGTTTAGTGGTTAGCATGCTTGCCTCACCCCTCCAAGGTTGGGGGTTCGAGTGCCACCTCTGCCCTATGCGCGTGGTTCTTGCATGTTCTCCCATTTCCTTGGGGTTTCCCTGTGGTATTCCAGTTTCCACCCCCAGCACAAAGACATGTGTTGTAGTCTGACTGGCATTTCCAAATTATCCAGCACACATATGTGTATGTGTGATTGTGCCCTGCAATGGGCTGGTCCCCCACCCCAGCCCCAGGGATAGGCTCCAGACTACCCTGCAACCCTGGGGATAAGCAGTACAGAGAATGAATAGATCTAGTTGTTGGATGATCTTACAATCCAAATCTTCATTTCACTGTGAACACACTCTCCAGAGACAGATTTTTACACAACAGCTTGTTGGATTATCATTTATTTATCCTTTAATCCTTTACCATGCCATTTTTCAGTATAAACTCTATCATAGATACATAAATGAGTAACACTGTGAGAAATTCCTTCCATTTTGAGCTTCTAAATAGGGATAGAATTGGATATGTAAAATTTCATGAATGCAGGTCATCTAGAAACTAAGATTTCTGGTTCTGAACAAAGAAAAATTTGATTATGAGGAATTTGATCTAAAAATAAATGGGATTTAATGTATTACTACACTAGTAAGTGTGAAATGTGGTTCATAAGGTTTATAAAAGAAACTTGCATAGAGTATGTCATAACAAAAACAATAATGCAGTGGTTGAAATTAATAAGAATAATAAACAAACATATTACAGCTGAGTTTGAACATTTTTATTACTACAGTTTAAGAGTAGACATGCTACAGATTACCCAAAAATCTAAAACAAAAATGACTGACATGACCAAACTGTATCAATGTATCAAGAACACTTAGCACTGGATGTTTCTCAGTACAGTGCCTTGAATAAGTATTCACCCCCTTAAACTTTTCCACATTTTTTATGTTACAAGCTGGAACTAAAATGGCCTATTAGTTGCTTCTCTGACTAATCCCCTCTTTATCCTCTTTGTCTCTGACTTTCGGCCTCCTCTAGACAGAGTCTCGGTTGTGCCAATTCCCAGTTAATAGTGTTGAAAGTTTGGGATATTTTGTCTAACTGAACCATACGTTTCTAGAACTTGTTTATAAAGCTCCTTGGTAGCATGTGTATTTATATTGAGATCATGTGACACTTTAATTACCAACAGGTTGATGCCATTCAACTAATTTTGTGACTTCTAAGAGCTAATTAAGGGGATTCACAGCAAGTGTTGGCGAATATTTATGCAATCATGACTTTTACCTTTTTTTTTTGGTAAATAATTTTTCTAAACTATGTATATCCCCTCCTTACCTCAATATTATGGGCTATTTTGTGTAAATTCATGACATTCAGCTAGTTATGTGACAGCTAAGAAGTAATTGAGGGGTTTCACAGCAAGTAGGGGTACTTTGGTAGATAATTTTGGATCTGGAGCGAAGCCCAGGAAACCTAGGAAAGAGGCGGGAATACACAACCATGGCACAAACACTGTATGTGAAACAGACAGTAACACAAGCTCAAGATTAAACCTTGAGTAACAGGTCATTCCAGGGTGACCCCCCCCCCCCCCCCCCCCCCCCCCCCCCCCCCCCCCCCCCCCCCCACACACACACACACACACACACACGTACAATAATTATTAAAGTACACTGCAGTTACTCCCTGGATTCTTCTTCAGGTGCTGTCTATATTACTGTGGGGGCGATATATTTTCCAAAGACAAAAATATTTCTTATTCCTCCAGTGCAGTGAGGATTGCATGTGCCAGTGGAGGAGCAGTGACAACAAGTCAATAGAATCTGTCAAAAAAAATATGTGATGCAGTCCAGCTAGGTACAGAGCAAATGTGAAACAGTCCAAAACACACACACACACACACAAACACACACACACACAATAACCCTGATTCCTCTTCCTAAAGGCTTTGTTCTGTCTGTGAAAATCAACCAGATGCAGGCAGTTCTTCCCCTAAAGGCAAGGAAGCTAGATAAAAAGTTGCCAACTCTTGGGTTTGGCTGAGAACTTGAGGCTGCAAAATATCCTTTGTGTGACCAGAGCTAATGCGGAGGGGTTGCATTGGCAATGTGAGAATCCGGCTAACTTTCCAGATGACAGAATAAGTACAAAAGCTTAAAAAAAATAGTGTTCAGCAAGAGGAGATTCAAATCATTACTCTCTAAAATGGTTCAAATTCGGGTATATTGTGGATAAAGCTTTATCTTTGTTGAAAAATCCCTGTGTAGTTGTACAACTGTAAATAGTGGCAATTGCATTGGGAGAGAAGAATATTGCTTTCAAATTTAATTTGTCACAGTCCATGATGGAGGAGGAAGCAATATTGCATGGAGCAGCACATTTGGCCACAAGTGAGTAAGTCTATCTACACCCAATATTGTGTCACTGTCTTTGAGAGATGAAGAGAAGACAATGTTCATCTGCATTTGAGACAAAGAGATCTGCTGATTTCGTTCCAGATTTGGCTGACCATCTGAGGCTGAAGCATACATTCTTTATACAGGGGGGTTCCCCGTGGAGAGACGCTCTGCTCCTGCAGTCATTACGCCCAGCACACTGCGAGCTGAAATGAACACTTTCAATCAGTTTGGAAGCTAGAATGTGGTACTGGAGGGAATGCATTTCTATTTTGTAGGCTACTACAGTCATATTGACAATCTGACTAGGAAATGACAACCCTTGAGGAATGTGTTCCAGGGATAGAAACACTGTTAAAGGCTTGAGGGAATTTATGTGGCACTGCGGAGACAGGCTTGCCAGATACCAATTACTTTTTTCTCTGGAGTGCCAGTCTCAAAAAACCACTGGGCTTCTCCACTAACAGACAGCCTCAAGGTACTACAACGAAACTGCTACACTGAAATGGTATAGATAAAGCTCAGATACCAAGTGCTTAAAGTCTGTTATCCGTAACATGTCAAAGAGGACGAATGCTAAAGTGGACAGCAAGAGACGTAACAACTGAAGACATAAAATTTTGCCTTACAGCAAAATGTCCATTGTTAAATTGACTCTCTCCACAGTGTTAAAACAAATGAAAAAATCCAAACAATCCCTGAAAAACACCAACGCATTGTCTAAAAGCAACTACTATTTACTGATTTCATTTGCATTTAATTTAATATGTAATAAATAAAATGTAAACATAATAAATATGACCATATACAATGGAAAATATTTAATTACTTTGACCATAAGCATCATCCACATCAGTCTCTCTAGGCTCTTCTCATGAGATAAGGGTCTCTCGTGACATTTGATGAACAGGAGCCTCACTGTTGTCTCTTTACTCAACTGATTATTGTTTGCACTTTCATCCGTGTTGAAATAATTGTTGATTAATTATTCTCTTATTGCAAGCATTTAAAGATTATAATTTTGTCAGTTGCCATCTCTATAGATTAAGCAACGGAATTTGTGCATCACAGATAATTTGACAGTTGGTATTTATACTGTTTACAATCTGAATCTACTAGGCTTATGTTCCTTTCGCTATGGCACATATCCAAAAACCTGACATTCACTGTGTTAGAGAAGCAGAACTGTAGCTAGCAATTAAAACATCTTTAGATATCAGACTGACCATTTTTATAGACACATTCTTTTAACGGGTGTCTTATTTACCTGACATGATCTCTGCAGACTGAAAGATTAGATAGGCATGGTTAATAAAACCGTTTCTATATCATTTTCACATCGTTTCGTTAAAGAAGAGGCATTAACGTGTGTTATAGGTGGAAAAATAAAAACAATTTTGGTCACAATGATATTTTTTCTCGCACATTTTTCGATGTTTGCCAGAATTCCATCACAGCTACATCCAGTGGGTTTTCCCAGGGGTCACTTTTCACAAGAGAAATTAAATGAATAATTTAATTCTAAAAATTAATTGTAATAATTTAATAATTTTTGTAAGTTCAAGTTTAAAGTTTAACAAAGGGGCAGTTCTTCGTTTTGCAATGCGCAGTGCAGAAGATCCAAATTGTGGGACTGGTGTGTTTACATGAGATTCTCTATAGTACTTCCCAATTTTATGGTATACAGTCAGTCATAATAAATAGGAATAAAATATGACAGAGTGTGCTGAAAATAATCAATGATGGGGTGGTGTGATATGGGGTGGTGTGATATGGCCCAACGTGAAGCACGTCCAGGTTTTATTCCTCTTATACTACAGCGGTTTGCCAATGATTAGAATTATTTTATTAGTTATTATTATTAATTAAGGCCTTTCTGGAAGACATTGCCATATCAGAAATCTTAAAGTTCCAGTTTACCCTCAGACAATTACAAAGCACTGACACTGGAAACTCCTTCCGTAAATGCTAAATAAATGGAAAAATTCACCATATCAACAATTACTTTGTTGTACTACTTATTATGTATTTTTAAATCCATTTAATTGGAGTGTCCACCAAACAAGTCCATGTGTAAGTTGTGACTATAGAAACAATATTACATATTAGAATGAGTTCATTAGTATAAATCTTGCTGTCAAAACTGCTCTCAGAGTTGCTGTTATTGAGCATTCAACAGCATGCTGGTATATTGCTATTTTACGTACAGTATGCTGTATACTATTGTAAAAAATAGTACAATTATTTTCTTCACATACACTATATTACCAAAAGTATTCGGTCACCCATCCAAATGATCAGAATCAGGTGTCCTAATCACTTGGCCTGGCCACAGGTGTATAAAATCAAGCACTTAGGCATGCAGACTGTTTTTACAAACATTTGTGAAAGAATGGGCCGCTCTCAGGAGCTCAGTGAATTCCAGCGTGGAACTGTCATAGGATGCCA